TCATGGAACCAATACTGAAATCAGAGACAATACTAACTTCATAAGGCTAGGATGTCAGCACTACTGTATTAAAGGCTAACTGAAAGGTCTACCTTTAGTCAGCCATTCCTCTTTTCTCATCACTGAATTATCATCCATTACATGGCTCAGAGCTGTCTCCTAGCAACATGGAGCTGGTGTGACTCCAAAGTGAAATATGTATTTAACTAAAACTCATCCCATCCAGGCATATTTACACTTATCCAACGCTTTCTCCTTTAGGAACCACCCACAAACCACTAGATGGCTACTGAGAAAAAAGAAAATACTTTAAATAGCGGAAGGGCCATACTTCTGAACTTTCAAGTGGATGCAGGAATTGATGGTAAAGAACGTAACTGAAAATATCTAACATCAATGGACTTCATTGGTCAGGCAAAATATGAATTTGTTTCCCAAGAATTATCTGTTTGAACTTCCTTAGTGCCACCACCACCAGGATCTCAGAAGATAAAAAATTAATCTCAAATGATGCATCATTTCTTTTATATTCTGGTTGATATGATTGGCACAAAAAGGTGAAAGTAATACACACAAAATGACTGCTAAAACTCCCATGAACAACTAGCATTTGCTAGATTATTTCTTACTGCCTTTATCAGAGAAGTAACAAAAAAGATTATTCTCCTCCACTACAGCATGTGATTTCTTAAACAGTCTGGTCAATAATGTATGAACATACCAAAGAATCACAAGTCTCAATATTACAAATCTTTTGAGGTAAAGCAAAATTTAAAAGAATGTCAGAAGCTTATTTACAATCTGTTACATTAAGCTCTCATGCTGCCATCACATCTCAGTAAAGAAGTGTCTGAAGGAAAACCACAGCAGATCCATACATCCTGAACACTGGAAAAATTCTAATCTCATGATGCTGGGTTCTCATTAAGGAAGCCTCTACGTGCAGGAAGCTCAGAAATCCCATTTTTACAGTCCATGCAGAGCTGGAAGGGAAGGAAGATAATTTTGTCTCAGAGCTGGGGAACTTGGGACTATTTCTGGCCCTGCCACAGACGTCCACAGAGGAATATTAGGTACTCCGTTTTTATAGTGCCGATCATAGAAAAGGATATAAAACAATCAATAAAAAAACTTTCCACTAAAATAATTGTTTATTTTTACTCTGAAGAGTATTAAATGAGTTTCATTCCTTTATGAATCTAATTAATAAAATCCACAGTAATACTCCAGTATCTTTTGAGAAACATATATTTGTGTTATCATTTATAAGTATTATTGCCATTTCCAGGGTTGACAATTTCACCCCATTTATCACTGACAGCTTGAAATATTTTTTCAGCTGTGGATCATGTTAATTGTGGAAGCTAATAGATAGGAATGTGAGATAAACATGCCTAATACCTTTAATGTATGTGATGACTTTACCAGGCTTATGGTACTGTATTTATTGTAAACAAACAGTCATGCTCAGAAAGGTAATGGGGCAAAGTATGAACTATTCTGAATAGTTACATCTGGTCAGCTTTGTAAAAAAGGTATCATACAATCTTCCAAAGTATGATCAGTTATTTTAATTAGCACTGGTGTCACTGACCTTGGAGTGTGCATTCAACTTACATTGACAAGCAAGTGTAGGAAGGAGAAACAAATCTTTCTGGTTAGCATACACTGTATTTTAATAGTAATTGATTAAGAAAAAGATTGTTATTCTCTTGATTTGTCTTCTTAGCAGTCAATGACTCTCAAGCTTTTCCTTTTTGGAACACCAGGAAGGAAGGCAGGGACTGCCTGTATATTTAAACATTCTTAAAACTGAAAAGCAATTCCACAAAGAGTAGCTGCAGACAGTCTACATTACAAGCATCACAATAGGGTTGAAACCCTTCACATATTAAAATGCAGGTGAGTCTCCTAAAGAGGGGGACTTCATAAAATAGCACTGATGTAGTTCTCAATAAACATTTGTTCTTTCAAAGCATAAACTAGAAAACTACACCACAATTTTCTTAACTTGTGATCAAGAATTAATTTGGGGCCTGATCCTACCTGGATCCCTGGTGTAAATCACTTTTCATCTATGTAAAGCAGTCATCAGGTAGTGTGTGTGTGTATGTATGTATGTATGTATGTGTGTACACACACACACAGAACTTAGTTCTGAAAAATGTGCATTATGCAGTGGAGGGCAACGCGAAACCCATACGAAGGTAAGAGAGTTAGAATGCCACTGGTGAGAAATGGATTAATTTCTATACAAGCTCACAGCATGAACTGTTACTTTGATTACCATCACAAAGCTGACAGGCCCCAAATGCCATATGTAATAAAATTATAAAGAAATGCCTTTTAGATGCTTAAAAATCTATCAACTCTGCAAATTCAACACTGTCATCTTGTTAAAATATTAGCTATTCTGATGCCTGATTAGCCTTAAATCTGTGTTTATTTTTTATGGCTGTGTATGCAAGTCATACTTCTGCTCTACTCTGCCATTCTGCACTTTGTAATGAGACAAGGTACAGATACAATTTCTACTGTACAAGAATCCTTCTCTTGGGATTTCCATTACTCAGCAGTATTCTGCCCACAAACAACTGGTAACTAACCAAAAATTAGTCTTGTGTAGTATCTTAAGGTAAATACGAGTCTAAACTGAGTGAAACCGCTCATAAAAATTTACATATTTATGGTTTTTACATTATTTTGTTTAATAGATGTTTGTTCTTTCCATTGCCTGTTCAAATATTATGTATTGGATAAATGTGCCACAGTAAAAGAGATGGACTACTTTTTCTCCCAGTTTAAGTAGGCTGATATAAAAGGGTAAAGTTAATCCTTTGTCATTCATTTTATTTTTTTAACATGTAATACATTTTACTGTTGTAAGTGCTAGAATGAATTATACAATTGTTTTCTTTCACAAAATGTATACAAAGTCATCAGGATGCAGGTATCAGTGTTGTAGTAGGTGAGCAACTTTCAGGAAATTAGGAAAATAATCTTTTCTTCATGCAGCACTTATATTTTTGAATATATAATTTGTTAGGCCTACAATTACAAAGATCCTCCTTTTAAAAGAGGATATATTTGGATGATATTGACCTCTATTTCAATAGTAGCAACAAGTTAATGACATGACTGACCACCTCTTCTGCATCTCAAAATTCCTACTTAGTTTTCTCTAAATATTCCAGCCCTATAGTTGCTTTGCCAAATAGTATTTCTGAAGTGTTCATTATTTATACATTGATAAGCTTGCCAAGCAAATGATCAAAAACACTCCCATCCATTGCCATCCCCTTTATTTACTTGGAAAAGGATTTTGCGTTTTCATTTGATTTTGTCCCTTTCTGGACTATAAAAGCAATGGCATTTGTAAGGGATACAATAAGTGGAGGAAATCGGTGTTGTTCATTGCAAATTAGTATTTTACAAAGATGATGGGTCTTCCCGTGCATCGATATCGAGAAGCAAAATGTTACATTTTATATGAACTTCTATGAATCAATAAATGCACTCGAGACAATACTTTTTAATTAAAATCAGAGCAATAACTGTCTCATAACAGCTAAATCTAGCCTGATCTTCAGACCGAACCATACAATAGGTGGAAACTGTTCAATGGACACATGGGCTACGTCTACACTGGCAGCTTCTTGTGCAAAAACTCTTCCAGAAGAGAGCGGCTACACTCACATGTGCTTTTATGCAAGAGATGTGCTTTTGCGCAAGAGCATCCGTGCCAGTGTAGATGTTCTCCAGCACAAGAAAGCTCTGATGGCCATTTTAACCAGAGGGCTTTCTTGCGCAATAAATTCGTGTTTCCTGTCTACACTGGCCTCTTGCACAAGAACAGTTGTGCAAGAGGGCTTCTTCCTGAGTGGGAGCATCATAGTTCTTGTGCAAGAAGCCCTGATTTTATACAGTAGAACGTCAGTTTACTTGCACACGAACACACGGCCAGTGTAGACAGGCAGCAAGTTTTTGTGCAAGCGTGACCGCTTTGGCGCAAGATCGCGCCAGTGTAGACACAGCCATAGTGGTTTACGAGGATGGGAAGGGAAATGGTCTGTCTTATCACCACATGAAACAGTGTAGTGGCCATTTTTGCCTTTCAAGGTCCATTCCAGCTTCAGGTGGCAGCTGAGGGATAGAGACTCTATGTTTTTGCATGGGACAAAGCACTCTCTCCCTCCCCCCTTGTTAATCTAGTGACTTGACTGGCTAACCTCATACTCCAGACACACAGATGTTCTAATTTGTTTGTACTATCAGTTCAAGATGCTATTAAACTAATGAGACTTCTTTAAAGTTGTATTAAATGAAGCATGATAATTAGATTTCCATTCATTTATGAATATGAAAAACAACAAAAAAAGAAACTACTATTAATTTTCAAATAGTCTAATTCCATCCTAGTCTTACTATATTGTAACTGCGTACTTTGGAAACCAAACTAGGAACGTGCAGTGAGCCTGGCCAATGCTGTATCTCAGTTGTTTAACAGCTTTGCTGGCATCTTGTATACTCAAACCATTCAGGACAGGATAATGTTGCACTGGAGTCTGAAAATGTCTGGGGAGTTATTTTTCTTTCCCTGCACTCCTTTGAATGTGTTTGTTTATACTTTTTCAGGGGTTCCCCTCAGTATATGTCCCATATAGTAATGTCACAGTTTTATTTAAAATCTTTACTTAGTTACATAAGTTTATGTTTCTCAATCTGAAGTAATTGTATTACTAGGAATCATTTCTATTTGCCATCCAGCATTAATTCTACACTATATTTATGAAACATTTCTGAAACAGCAAAATAACTAAGAAAAATTAACCAACTAGAAATACCAATTTAATCATTATGTAATGCATACATGTGTCATATTATTCCAAATTAATGATCTGTTTTGAACCAAAAGTAAATGTGTTGGAAATCTGTATCAAAGTAGTGAAAAATGTACTTCTAAAAGTTAGTATTGAACAGATTCAAGCTTACCACTTCAATTCTATTCAGTGTTTATTTTCATTTTTTGATAGTGGAAATCATGTATAAATCAAACAGTACAAGTTCCTATTTTCTTGAAATTGCCTACATGAATGGGTCAACTGCTGAGTACAGATGATGTATTTTTAGTATAAAGTCAAGATAATATGGCATTTAGCTATCAACCAATACTCAACTACAGTAAAGATACAAACTTTAGTAATATAAATTAATTGCCATTACAAAAAGGCAACTATTAGTTAAGATACAAAAATCTGTAACATCTATAAATATAATGAAAGACAGAAACTAAATGAAATAATACATCACGGGTTTCTGTACAGCACATTTGAATATGCAAACATACAGACAGCATATTATACAGCAAGAAAATATCAAAAACACTAACAAGGATTTTCAAAATCACTGCAAATTCTGTAAGTACAGGACATAACATGGAAGCAACAAGATGACCAGCTTAGAACTGCTAGACAAAGGAGGACAGTTGTAAAACATTAGGCGTCAGACAGAAGCATGTCAAAAACAGCTGTTGTTGGATACTGATTGATAATGTTTTTATTCTGACTGCTGAAACACTGCAGACAGACACAGGTCTGAGAAGCCGTCCAGTGTGGGCACATCCACACACAAAAACACACACACAGAAAGTAATTTAACAGATGGCTAAAGAACATTAAACCACGACATCTTTTTTTTAAAAAAAAGACAATGTTCACTGTTTAATGAACTTGCATTGAAAGTAGTTAGTTCCTAGTGATTTAATTTATTTCATCTAAATGTTGAATGCACAGGAAGAGAAAACAGTAATTGAGAATGGTGATCTGAATAAAAATTATATGGTGTTCACAGATTCTGTATTAAGAGTATTCAAGAACACTTTAGACAAAAAGTGTAACATGAACTGCTATTAATTTTTTAATTCCTCCATAAAAAGGTGAAAGTGTTTAAACATTTAAAAATCTACAAATCCATTATAATCCACTCACAAACACAGAACAACAAAAGAACCACATTTAAAGTAATGTTAAACATCTTTCTTGAGTCCTTAGACAATTAGGATTGTTTCAACCTGCAGAATGGAATGATTACTAAGTTTAGACATATTGAAAATCATGACAAAAATTTTCTGCTCCTGGTGCAGTTGTATTTTCCTAAAGAAAAGAATTAAACATCAAAAGGCCCTACTATACTGTCTAGTATGGCTAAAACCACATTCTGATTGGCTAGTTGGGGCCTTTTGATGTCACTGCTGTGTAGCACTTTCCAACAGTGCATAGTTGAGATCTCATGACCAAATTAATATCAAAATCCCTAAGACTTTTGCACCAAATTCACAGCTAGTATAAGTGAGTAAGTAGTAAGTATAACTGGGCCCATTTATACTTGGTTCTGAATTTGATTAATTACATCTAATTTGGGGTAGAAAGCAGAAAATAGTAAAAAAAGATTGTTCTTCCCTCCCTCTAATTTTAAACTAAAAAGCAGCTACAGTCTAGAACGTCATCTTTTCTATTCCTATTGCCCCCAGCAAGGGTTTTCTTTGGGCATGTACCACAGTTCCCCTTCTTACCCTCCTCCATATAGTGTCTTTTGCAGACATCTGAGAACATTACATTATTTGTGTTACTTGAAAGAGCAAAACTGGAAGCCCTAACCTAAATCCCAATTCATATTTAGTTCAGGAAAAGGGAGCCCACTGAAGGCACATAGCAATATCTGAGAGTATCAGGGATTTTTCCAATTAATAGGATAGTTGGGAGCTGATTTTGAGCTCCTAATTCTGTCTTGCAAATAACATGAAGAGTTCAAGTTCCTGAGTATCTGCAGAAGAGGTGCCTTGGGGAAGCACATGCATGAGAAATACAATGATACCGAAAGAGAGGGAATGTGTCAGTGAGCCCAGATGTTCTCTAGGCAGCAAGTTCTAGCTCATTTTCATCTCTCAATTTCCATTACATAATTAATTTGGGAGCTACACTTCCTTGTTAATAGGAAGTGAGTTGAAGTAGCATCTATTAGGCCACAGACTTGGATTGAAATGGGCCTCTGGGAAGCAGTTTACAGATAAGGAGGAAAATTATCCAAATATTGTACTTCAAGGAAATTTAAAGGGTAAAAATTATAGAAACCAGTTCATTTAACAAAGAGCATATTAGAAATAACGAACCAGTTTCTATAGGATCTCCCTACTTTTTCTTATCCTCAAACTAGGTATAATCAACAATGAACTGAAAGAAATGAACTCTTAAATCAAAGGATATGTTGCAGAAAGCTCTGAAAATTTGTTTAAGAAGATTTTTCTAATCCTGAAACAGAATCAAGATGGATTTCTAAACTCTATGGCTACGTCTAGACTGGCATGATTTTCCACATATGCTTTTAACTGAAAAGTTTTTCCAATAAAAGCATTTGTGGAAAAGAGCATCTAGATTGGCACGGACGCTTTTGCGCTTTTTGCGGAAAAGCGTCCGTGCCAATTTAGACGTGGTTTTGCGCAAGAAAGCCCCGACTGCCATTTTAGCCATCAGGGCTTTTTTGCGCAAAACACTTTTTAGCTGTCTACAATGGCCCTCTTGCGCAAATACATTTGCGCAAGAGGGCTTTTTCCCCGAACGGGAGCAGCATAGTATTTGCGCAAGAACACTGACAATCTTACATTAGATCGTCAGTATTCTTGCACAAATTCAAGCGGCCAGTCTAGACGCAGCCTATATGTCTATACCCTGTCTGATATTTAGTTTTATTATGAACCAATGAACGCAGATGCTCATTTGAAAACAAAACTGATTTATATCATTTTAAAACTGCCAAAAGGCAGGCAAATATTGCAAACTTGGGGTGGGCGGGGATAAGGGTGGAATATATATTGCATTCCTAGAACTAAATGGAAATTTTTCAAAATTTGTTCAAAATTTTGGTTCTGATAAATGAACTTTTTATTAACATTCAGTCTTCAGCAGATTTCTAAAGGCATTTTTAACGGCCTGAAAATAGGGCTTTACAACAGACATATTGGCAGACTTTTAGTTATAATGGAGAGGCAGAAGCACAGTTGTGATAATACTATTTTGAATGAGAGTTACAGGAGATGCCTTATTTTAAATCTGTGGTCCTTCATGCTATTTATACAGCATCTGAGTTAAAATACATTTTCTCTTGCTGCTCTTTAATCATAGCTACTAAAAACCTAGTAAATTATTTTATCCAGCCTACTTAATTTATTAAGAAGTCTTGTCTACTTAGGCTGTAGCCACAGTTTTCCGCAAGATTTTTTTATATCCAAGATAATCCAAAGATGATGGCAAATACTGATATGTGCACACACTGGGTTTGTGCATTATTTCCCCTTACTCCCAACTATCTGGACTGCTTGTACCTTTGAAAGGGTTAAGAATTAGAACAGTAATCTATCAGCAAGGTATTTGTATTTTCATTCAGTGAGACTTCAGATTAGATTTTGCATCAGGACATTTCCCTGCTTGTAAGAAGATTTACTAGTGCTCTCAGTGGTCATCCTTTCTCGATAGTGCTAATGGTCAGCAAACAAGTCAACACACAAAAGTAATATCTGCGAATTATTACAACACTTACTTTTCAGAAAACATAGTTGGTGGCTTTTTTCCCATCCTTTACAGACTGTGATTTTGTGCACGCAGAATTGCATACCAAGGGATGTTTTATGATAATACAGGGAAAAAACCTGCAATGAGCACAATTAGTGGTAAACAAAGAGTAACTCCCTATACTTCAGTAGTGTAGATGACTTAACTGGAATAAGCATGTTCCCAGTTTACAACACATTTATTTCAACAAACAGATTTTCTGCACAAAATGAAAGTTTATATTTATTGTAAGCTGAAATGCAGTCTTAATACCAAACCATAATTAAGCGGTGAGCAGAATTAACTGGTACAATGATTGGCGAAGCAGTTCTCTTTCCTAGATTTTCACATTCTTGAAGGCTCGAGATCTCTCTCTTCTAGTAAATTTATCAGAAGGGTGAAGCTGTCTTTTACTGCTTCCATATCATCCAGAGAGCAGGGTTTAAGAATCCAGCGCTTTCCTCGTGCAAGTGGTTCAAGTTCAAAATACTTTTTGATCTATTTAAAAATAAAATAAAATAAAATAAAATAAAATAAAATAAGATACAATAAAATAAAAATAAAGGAGGAAAAATTAGTATTTCTTTCATGGTACACCTGGTCTCTTAGAAAATAAAATGTGAAAAAAACCCTGGGGAACACTCATTTTTAGATCACATCCACAGCTGTTTTTATACTACAGGTTCTATGTTGTGACTGGAAAGTGTCATCTTTAGGGGTGAGTGACCTGCTTAGCAAGCCACTATTCCACCTCTACATTTAACAGCATGGGAGGTCTGAGAAAGAATTATATGCACTTAAAGCACAGAGTAAAGTATATTAAACAACTGCTCAAAAAGTCAGAAAAAACAACAGCAAGCAACTTTATAAACAGCTGGACTTGTATGTAAAAATCAACCTCATGACATGCTGTACCATACTGTTACGCAACTACCTGATCAACCAAAATACATAACACACACAAATTTAACTGTCAACAAGTCCCCAAACTTATGTACTTGATTCAGTGATAAATTGCAACAGAGGTTTCCTGGGAACTTCAAGCAAAAGAATGCTAGCTGCAAATGTCTTATACAACTAGTGGATTCATTTGTGGTCATACAGAAAAGACTGGAATGTTCATGTGATCAAGGTAACAAATATTATAGCCACACAACAGTCGTTTTCAACCAGTGGTTCACAGAACTATGGGTATGATTTCTAAAGGGGTTGCACCCCTCCATTTGAAATATAAGGGGCTGCTAATGAAAAAAAGATCGAAAACCACTGATACAGTATAATGCCTAGTAAGATGTGATCCTCTATGACTAAATTAAATCTCAAAGTGGCATTTCTACTCCAGTCATCTATCAAGGGACATTAACAAATTGTAAATACAATGTTCAATGACAAATGTTAAGAGTATCAACATAATTGAAAAAAATATTTGTGATGATAAAGTGTGTAGTAAAGATTTCACTGACATTCATGACAGCAACCATAATGAAGAAGAAAAAAAAGGAAATCTAGGAATGATGGTTGTTCTTCTCAGACTCACTAAAAGACTTTTACTATTTTTAAACAACATAATCTCATTGTGTTTTAAATGGGGGATCAAGAAAAAAACTGGTTCAACAAATTGCTTGGCCTTTTTTTAAGTATTATAGGTGGCACTTTTCAGACTATAGCGATCAATGGATTTCATTAAGCTTTGTTTGTCAAGGAAAATTCCAACATACTTTTCCGTTAGTATTTGATCCAGAAAACAAACTAATGTTTGACATGTCAAACAGAAATAGACTTTTATCTTATATAACTGTAACTACATGCATCAATGTTTACTATCCAACAAACCAATAGAAATATTTTGTCCTTACAAAGTTTAAACTGAACATTCTTGTATTGAGGAATGTTTTGGCATGAAATATTAACTTTTTACTCTTGAAGTCCACAACAATACTAATTCATACAACACACCTCCATCATAATCATCCAGGAATCCCCCTCCCCCGCCCTCTGCAACCAGCCCAGGTGCCAACTCTGTCCACACATCTATACAAGCAATTTCGTCATTGGCCCAGCCATATCACTCACTACATCTGGGCTCATTTAACTGCACATCCACTAATGTGATCTATGCCATGAAATGCCAGCAATGCCCCATGGCCATGTATATTGGCCAAACTGGACAGTCTCTATGGGAAAGAATTAATGGACACAAATCAGATATCCAAAAAGGCAATACACAGAAACCTGTTGGAGAACATTTTAACCTGTCCAGGCACTCAATGATCTCAAAGTCACCGTGTTGTTTCAGGCCAATTACACAAGACAAATACACAGGGAATGGTTGGAACTTAACTTCATTTACAAGTTTGATTCCTATAAGAGAGGAATGAATAAAGGCATTGGCTGGCTCGCACACTACCTTCCACATCCTAATGACTTACCCAAACAATGGATACTTGTAGAGGTGCAAATTATTCTTATTAGTTTCTTGTAACTTGAACAATCTAATTCACTATTTTTCTCTCTTTTTTTCTTTTCCCACATCCTTCCTTCCCCCCCGCATCCCTTTCTTATTTATTCTTGGATCTGGACTATTAGTCTACTCCAGTCATCTGAGGAAGTAGTTTGTGCCCATGAAAGCTCATGATACCATCTACATGTTTTGTTAGTCTTTAAGGTGCTGCTAGACTAATAGTCTGTAACTGGAAAAACTTAAACAACGAACTCGGCTACCCCTCTGAAGCTTTTGAACAATAATAGTAATAATTTTTATTTGTATTGTGGTAGCAACCAGAGGTCCAAATCAGGGATCAGAAGAACTATAGCATTAGACTCTGTATTCATTAAGTACATATTCTAAAGACTAAACAAGTTGTGTATTCAAACAACCTGAACAAGCTCTTCAAAATGTTCCTACAACTGTTTTGTTTACCTAATTAATCGAATAAAATACTAGAAACCTATTGCAATTTTATTAACTGATATAAATCTGAATTTAATTACTGTTGTGACAATAGACTTAGATGAAGTATTAGAAATATTACAGCAAGGTAGAAGAGATTACTTATCTATAAAGGTAACTGCATTATAGGGATCTTGATCATAGTTATCAGAAATATTGATATTTCTATGTAAATAAAGAAGTAGGAAAACCTGCCACAGTTAGTTCAGAAATATTAAAACTTAGATTATTAAACATTGCAGTGCCAGGTTGGTAACAGCCTAGAAAGATTATATAAAATCAGGAGTAAATAAAGTGTAGGAATGCTTACCAACGAATAGCAGTTACCAATCCATCATTTCATGTGCTTACCTACGTTAATAAAATTATCACCAACAATAAAAAGTTTAAACTTAATATTGCAAAAAACAATTTAAAATTGCCTAAAATCTTGAGACAAGTATTTTAGAACAGACTTTAATATTATTATGATTCCCATTTCATAGTAATATTATTAATCTATAAGTCAGTGTGCTAAATCATTAAAATACACAGTAAACAGGTCAATATTTAAGCAAAGTACACTAACCAAAGGATTTCACTACAAGGGTATAAGAGTGCTGTAGTTTGTTTCTGTAATTGCACTCATTGAATGCTAAGTATGGAGAAGAACTGAAAGCTGTACAAAAACACAACAAATCAAGGTCTCACTATGGCCATTTGATAAAAGGACCCTGCTGGTGTTAAGCTGACAAATATGGCTGAGTAACTGGAGATTTTTAGACATCTATCCTGCAGAATACCTACTATACACCCCCAACTGGTAAGCCATTGCCATTGGTTCCACTCGTCACACACAAATCTTCCTTTGCAATCCTATTTATACTAGATGCTTGTAATAAGGCCAACCAAGGCTGAATATCAAAAGGTAATTGCATTTTAATGATGGAGTCATTGAGCTTAAACTTTAAAATTTACAATATTTGCAAATGAACATGGAAAGGAAATAACTGTACCAAGCACATTAACACTTCAGTCTTCATGCAAATTGAGCAAAAGTAACATTACTTACCAGGTCATACTGTTGTCTAGATGTTCAAAATGATTTTAGGCTACATTTCAGTGACAGGATGTTCCAAAACAAAGTCAATAATTGAATAATAAAACAGGACAAAATTATCTGTGGTAAATTGGGATAAGAAAAATTGTTTTGTAGAGAAAAATGTTAATTTTTTTTCTTGGTATATAAATAAAATAGTCATTAATTTAATAATCTGGCACAAATATTCTGTGTCTGTGATGCTGATCAATATTCCAGAGCCACAGAACTCAAATCTCGGTGGCTGCTGAAATAAGAGGAAGATGATCATTACACAGTGGCTTTTGGACTAGGAGCCTCTGGTGATGAAGCCACAGAACAGCTGTTTGGAACACCCAGGAGTGCAGCTATTCTGGAGATAGCCATAGAGGAAAAAGCTTGCTAGTGGACTTGTCTCTAACCCAGATATAGAAAGCAACTATAATTAGCTTGCCCCGTGTTAAATATTTAACAGTGGAACAGAAGTGATCTTCAGTGAACTACAGAACAATTCATTGTCTCTTACTGCATTCTCCAATTTAAACTTTATGCTACACTGGATGAACCTCAATAAGTCAGGAGCTTTGGGAACTATTTCCAATAGGGTGTGTCCCAAAAGCTGTCAGATTCATTTGTATTAGTTGTTCATAATTAATCTTACAGCTGTTTGAAGAGGTCTGCTTCAATACACAGTAGGTATAGTTGACTCAATTTCTGTCCAGCATTTGAGGGGAAAATGAAAGGTTTTGATGCACTGGAACAAACAAACAGAATATCACTTAATTTTGTTTCTCAATGACCAGTCAAAAAGGTTAAAACTATTTCAGAACTGATCAGAATGTACTTGATATATTGTATTTGACTGGACTCAAAACTACTGAAGAGCAATACTGATTATGAAAGAGTTGTGAAATTTGTGTTGGTAGATTACTTTGTATAATTATGAAGCATTTGAAGTTTTGCTTTTAGCAAAACTTGTAGATCCAAAAGCTTTCACACATGAGTTTCTGAAAGTTATTTCTAGTTCAAAATGTTTCATGTAAGTTTTACTGTGGTCAGGGCTGACAATTTTGTACTGTAAATTTTGTCTGTCCTAAAGAAACACACATGTACAGTACTTCACAATATATAAAATATCCAATTTATACAATGCTTTACAAAATAGATGTTCTCCTCCCTCCTTTTTATTATTAGTAACCTTCAGACTCTCCTCTACTAAACTTGACCTTCAGATCATAACTGATTCAGTCTTTTGCCTGCATTGTATAAAATAATCTGTTTTGAAGAGAGAGAGAGGATACTTGACAAAGGAGAATGGAGAGTGGTACTGGCAAGTGTGGGGAAACAAGAAAGGGAGAGTATCATAGAATAAATACTAGGACTGGAAGGGACCTCAAGAGGTCATCGAGTCCAGTCCCCTGCCCTCATGGCAGGATCAAGTACTATCAAGAACATGGGTTCCCAAACCGGGGGGCGTACCCCAGGAGGGGG